CAAAGAGACCCTTCCACTTGACACGCACGCGTTTCGGAACTTCCTCGGGCCGCGCGGTGACCCCTCGCATGTCTCTCCAGCACCAAGATCGAGAAGGAGAAGCGCGAGCTGGCCAAGCAGTACGGAATGGTGCGCACGGAGGTGAGTGGCGGGGAGATTGCCGAGGAGCTGGAGAAGGAGCGCCGGATGTTCCAGCTGCAGATGTGCGAGGTGAGCCCCCCCGGGGTCAGAGGTCACGTCGGTGTGTTGGCAGGCGTGCAGCTGATGCTGCGCTGGTGCAGAAGAGTCTCGGGTGATGCCAGTGCCCCAGGGTGCCAGGCACTGGGAGCAGGCAGCTTTTAATCAGCAGAACGTTTCCAAAATCTGCGTGTGGTCTGATTTCCAATATTTGCATTTTACTCATCAAGGGAAGCATTGATGGAACAATATTCAGAATGCATCTCTTTGGATTTTCATTAGGTTTAATTAACCAGTCAAATCACTGTGTTCGAAACACAATTTCTCCAGCCTTAATTAATATATTCCTATTGCTGCCAGTCCCTATAGGATAATTAAATGGTGTCTGAGGAATTTAAGGAGTACTATACGAGGTTATAAATGATAAAAACATGTGGATCTGGTAAGAAAAAATGTACAGGGTTAAGACGTGTTTAACAGCGGATGTTGCTTTTCTAAAGTGGTGAAACAGAACGAAATAATATTCATACGGTATATCCCAATATTAGATATAGAAGTGCATGCTACAGTTTGATTTCCAGCAGGGAAGCACAAGTGATTATCTGTTTCCTGCTCTGTTTTCTACTGGCTCCACTCAGAGCCTGTGCAAAATCAGGACGCCTGATTTACTCGATGAAAGAGCAGCACCTGATTCCCTCTCTTCTTCTGTGTTCTCGTACCTTGCAGTACTTAATCAAGGTGAACGAGATCAAGACGAAGAAAGGATTTGACCTGCTGCAGAACCTCATAAAGCACTACCACTCGCAGTGCAAGTAAGTCCAACCTTCTACCATCTGCTGGATGTCGAATCTGCAACACACAAGCCAGGGGAGAGTCAGGCCTCAGTGCAGACAGAACAATTCTGTTTTTATCTTGAGTGCAGAATCTGTAAGACAAGCACTTTTAAAACAATACCGAAAATAATGGTCTGTACATCTCTCTTGCAGCAGTTTCTGTTTTTCTGGTTATACTGTATATGAGCACGTGCCATTTTGCACCAGATTGCTAAAAGGGTCTTCAATGCTTCAGTGTAGGACATTTCGTTAAGCCCCAGCATCGATTCCAGAGCAGTGATATCGTTCATGCATGTACAGTATGCTGCATGGGTCTTAAAACCAAAGGTGATCAAATGATCACATCCTGCTCGTAGTCGGCAGAAGGCATTACTGCTGCAACACACATAGATTGGTTCAAGTTCCTCATAAGTGGTCACATTTGTCTCAGGAGTACATGCAGCACCGTAGGCAATAACTGGAGAGGTATGTCAGTACAGGTTGCTCTCTGTCCCTTTAAGGACAGAGAATGTGGAGAATGTGAGACTGTTAAGGAGAACGTGTATCTGGACCAGTCTGCCCATGTAGTGTGTGACACACTCTTCCCAGGTAGACATGTTAGCCTGTGGCCACAGGGTGTCAGCATGCATTACTGCAGTGTGCAGTTTATGCAGCCTTAATTCACCCCGAAAGTCATCACCAATTAGCAGCCTGATCTTTTTTTCTCTCATTCAGGTGGGAGGTTGTAGCTTCAACACTCTCAGACACTACTGGCAGAGCTGTTTGTCTTTCATTACTGTAAAAGCAATAATAGCCCTGAGTAGTCCTATCCTGGGGTCAGTACAGGGCTATTTAATTAGAACACAAGCTGTTACAATTCCTTTCCTCTATCCCCCGGAATTACAGGCGGAGTCTCTCCAAAGTGGCTTGATGTTTTCAGTAGGCGCTGAAGATGGACCATGTACCTGAATTGTCTTTTTTTTTTTTTTTTTTTTTTTAAAGCAAAGCCCCAGGAAATGTCAGATCCAGTAAAAAGGTGTAATGACAGGCAGCAGGCAGGAAGTGCAACCTAATGACATTTGCCTTGTCTTGACGTGTTGACATTTTAAGGAAGCTCGACTCGGTTTCAGTGTGCGATATGCATTATGGTTGAACATCAAAGGCTTTTTTTTTCGTTTTAAAAAATAATAGCTTTCAGTTCAGTTCTGATATTTGGGAAGTGTGTCATACTGCGGTTGCTTTTCTGGAGCAGGGTAATGTTTCCAAAATTCCTGGGACATTTCGGACTTCCATTTTTGGGCAGGTGATGAAGGGTTTCAGTTTCTGTCCCGTTGAGCTAATAAAGACTGGATAAAGATTAATGTTAAATGAACAGGCTGTAGTAGTGGTAAAAGTCTGCAAGTGAAAAGATTCCATCTAAGTAACAATAATTAATACTGAAGCCAATGTGCATGTCAAAGACATCGGTATAATCGACCTCAAGGTAATGATTTAGGTAATTGCAGCTGCTGCAGTCATTCAGATCTTGCTGTGCATGTGTAATTATCATTTAGAGCTGTGGACTTGTCTGGTCATTCAGGACCTCCAGAACTCCAGCAGAGTGTTCTAGTGGTTCTGAACATCGCCATTCCCAGTTGTATTGTATGGAGACAGATGGGCTCAGCGGTGGGGTTTGTGGGTGCTTATGAGTCGGACCATTTCCCCTACAAGATGAGCTGTGCGGGGCTCTCCGCCGCTGGCGGTGGAATATTACTGGACACGCAGGTTCTGGAGAGGCTGGGACGGGCCTGTTAACAGAGGCGCTGGAGTTTCGTCCTCCAGGTTCTTACAGACGGGTGATCATGGTGCGTTTAGAGCAGACCTGAAACGAAGAGTTTGGGAACGCTTGGCATTGGTATGACTATCTCTGTGTGCACTGATGGGGAGACGAGAACCCCTCGAGGCTCACCTCGCACGAACAGTGATTATATCATTCTGCTGCACCTCTGTAACGAGTTCCATTTCTAAAGTCATACTGTCCACTGTGGAGGTGTTCCAGGACCTGAAAGATTAAGATATTCAGCCCTTCTGCTCCTGCCTGATTGTTTAACCTTTTTTTTTTTTTTGCCCTTTTCAGTTTCTTTCAGGAATGTTTAGCCGCGACGGAGAAGCTGAAGCAGTATATAGAAGCACTTACAACAGGGCTGAACAGCGTGAGTCTATAACCAGGCGTTAATCTGTGCGTGGGCATTATAGCTGGTGCGCTTGTCACCAGTTGTGCTGGATTGTAGGTGCTGCCTGCCACATGTGTTGCAGTTCTAACTTGTTTTCATGCCATCCGTGAAGAATGCACAGCTGACCAGGTGGGCCTGCTGTCAAAAGATCTTTCAAAAGTAAAAACCTGGCAAAACATGTCTAAGCTTTGAAAGCAAATGGAGAATTGGGTCAAATCTGCATCGAGAGCTCGATTTACTGTTCCAGCAGTCTTCTAGGCCGGTGGAAGGTGACGAAATAAGGTCAAAGGTCATGGGGCACAGGGGAGGGAGCACTTGGGGTTGTGATGGGGGGTGTTCAGGGCGAAAGGGGTGGCAGAATGAGTACTCCCCACATGTCTGGTTTATGTAATACCACATATTAACTCGCATAAACTGGCCTGAGCAAATCTCATGTCACTCATGCTTCTGCAAAGCCACAGCACATCCACCTCACAGCTGCAGAGAATGTGCTAGCATGAGACCCAGAGCAGACAGTATGCTTGGCAGGAGCGTATCGATTCGCAACGGGCATGAGGACTTTTTTTTTGCTTTTCATTTCATTGATCTGTGTTGCCTGCTGCATGTCGCATTAACCTTTCATGCCCTGTGCGCCTCTTCTTAGAGGAACTCTTTTGGCAAAAGGCTCCTTCACCGGTTCTGTTTTCTGTGAGCCCCAGTGTTCAGAATAAAATCCGAACTGTTGGGGAAACAACAGATAATTCATTTCAGGCAGTAATCATTGTCAAGGAGCTGGATGACAGTCAAGTGCTTTTCTAAGCCTTGTGTAGTCAAACCGTCTTGTAAATAATGTAAGAATACATGAAACTAACAGAGGAAACATTTTGTGAATCAGAAGAAAGTAGTGTTATAGATTTCTTGATCTCACCGTCACAGCATTGCTTAAACAAGGCCTTTTCTTCCACTCTGGGGTGTTAAGGACTCTCCTGTTGCTTCAAAGCAAAGCAAGCAGAAAGAGCAGAGCATGAGATGCAGGAATGTGTAGGATGTGTAAAAGGCCATTATTGTGCAGAATTCCTCAGCCGGGCTTTCTCTCCTCATTAAGTGCCGTTCCTCCTCTCTCTCCACGACCAGATCAAACACAGGCAGGACGAGGAGAAGAGGCAGCTCTGCTCACTGCGAGACCAGCTGAGGCTGTCGCTGCAGCCCGAACAGAAGGAGGTAAGATTGCAGGTGCCAGGGACGGGGGAGAGCCTGAGAACCCTACTGTCCTGCCACAGTAAAGCAATGGGCCTGGGCACAGGCACAGGACAAGGCACAGAAGGGAGCAGACCCAAACATAGCAGTACCTGCTGGCTTGGCCTGGCCTGTTCCCCCAGCAGGGCCAGAAGCAGCTGCTCGTGCAGTTGGTCTGAATTTACTACGTAGATGCGTGTTGGAAACGCACTGCACCCCTGTATTTGAGGGGTGCCCATTTAATATGTATGCATCTCTCCAGCGTTGTTTTGGCAGATGCACAGAGAAAGAAAGTGATTGAGTTCTTGAATCCCCAAGTATCGTAGGTGAGAGGGTTCAGAGCATTACATTCAGCAGAAGACCCCAAAATGAGATGGATGTCCTCCTTAATGAATTGGTAGTTGTTCGAGTCCGACGGGGAAAATTACTGACCTAAATCCAGAGTCTCAGGTTCAGGTTTGCTGCCTTAAAAAGTCAAGACCTATTCAATGTACATAAGAACGTTGAGAAACAAGCAGCTTTAACAGTGAGGGACGGCCAGTCGTGATTGGAGGGATTTTTTACATTTAATTTAACATGTGAGGCGCTATGATTCAGCAAGCTGCTTAAGTATGACCAAAAAATAAAAAGGACTGTAGTCAGATGAGACCAACAGAGATGAGATCATCCAAAGTATGACACAGTAATACTGAGTGTGTGATTTGTGGGGGATTATTTTAATAATATAATGTTTCTGCCATGAGTGTGTTTTGCAGTGCAGGCTTATTGGACCTTGAGAGTGTTATACTTTTTTTACTTTTTTTTTAGTAGACTGTTAAAGATTGTAGAATACTTTGTTGCAAATAAAATATGACCCAGATAAAGTTATTCTTGTCATTTAAACCCAAGGGGTCACAGATCACTTTGAGAAAGATGTGTTGTAAATTAATTTTCCTGTAGCACAGTGTTCCACCTGTGTTAATATTATTCTCTGATTTTTACCATTCCACTTCACATGGGTTTCACTGAATGCTGCAAACCCAGACTAGGAGAGTGAGTTGAATTTTAAGCCTCTACAGTAATTGTTGAAATGAATCTGATCGCATGTTCAGTGTTGCTGCCGGCCTTTCGCATTTGAGAGCTGCACACGGCGTTCAGCACCTTTGACTAGCTACCTTGAATGAGATAGCTCCTAGACATCAGCTGCCTCGAATCCAAAACAAGCGTTTATCCAGCAGTGGATTTACTTTCCTCCCCGATCTGCCCCTTGGAAATAAACGTGTTGTAAAGACAGAGGGTGAAGAAGTCTGACCCTCGAGGGATCTGAAAAATAACATCGTAGTTTTACTGGAATCCCAGAAAGAGAGATAATAGAAACAGTAAGTCTGCCCTTCCGTGTGAATGTTTGAACTGCGAAAGTGCCGGCACTCCTCTGAAGTCTCTGCATGCCCTGAGTGTGAAAAACTCCTGTTGTTAAAAGATTTTCAGAACTATTCTGCTCTCCGTTCAGTGTTCGACTGCAAGAAATCCCCCTCTCATTTTATCTTGTGTTATTCTGTGGAGCCCGGTCTCCATTATTTACTGCTCGAGATGAGCACAGCTGTGCCTGTCCTCTCAGAAGCGCTGCGGGAACGATCTTTCTCGTTCGGAATGATGTGGCGTGTATTGCCAAGCCTTCCAAAGTCTGTTCGGCTTTTTGCACACCTTGCCGCTTGTGAGGCGAGCGAGGAGGCAGTGAAGGAAGGTGAGGAAATGTTTGCCACTGTCCGATTCCAGCTTGGGCCTTGAAGGAGTTTTGTTGTGGCAGTTCTGGGGAATTAAGTGCTGAGTCATGTTCCATCTGTCTGCTGGTGCATGCAAATCCATGTTTGTTGTGCTGTGTTGCATGTCAGAAAGATGTGCACTAACATCTTCTCCAAGAATCTTAATAGTGTTCAAACGCGTTTAGGAATCGTGGCGTTTGACTTGGGACTCCTGGAAAAATCTATGTTGCTGTCTCTAAAGCTCAAGGGAGGGGGGAGTATTTCTGTGTGAAGACCGATGTAGGTTATCGACCTCTGCTCACTACAGAGCTATCGGAACCTGTGTTCTGTGCTCCACCAAAGATCCACTGCCAACCCGGAAGTTCCTGGTTTTAACCTGACCAGTTGTCAGGTTGTCAAGAGCCGCCGTCTTGTCTGAATCTGCCATCCTGGCCGGCGCATCATGATCTCCACCTAGCAGATAGTTCCGTTGTTCACTCTAGAGCAGAGCGACCCGGCCAGCCTGGGAAATCGTGCTCCTGTCCTCTCTCTCTCTCTCTCCTTGCAGGATTCGCTGAGCCGGCAGGCGGTCTACAGTATGCATCAGCTGCAGGGCAACAAGCAGTACGGAACGGAGAAGACGGGCTGCCTCTACAAGAAGAGTGACGGGTAAGGCCCCGGATTCTCTCGCTCCTTTTCTTTTCTGCACATTGCTCCTGTACCCTGTACCCCTGGATGTCTTTTGTGTTGTGTGAAGGGAGTTGGCACCCATGTTGTGCTGGGACTGGGCTAAGGGGGTTTGAGTTCTCCAGGCTGGGCATTGCATTGAACCCAGAAATTACAGTCCATTTACTCTTCTCGTTTAAATTAACCCTTGGGCCTGAGTCTGTCAGTTTCACTGGCCTTTCCTGGGCCAGAACTAGGCGGTGCAACAGCAGCTAGTTAAGGAAAAGGGAAAGCATGTACCTGTCTTCACACAGAGCTCCAGGAAGACTATCTGAGAAGCCAGGGAGGTGAGGAAATGCTGCACACTAACCCTGAGCTCCTGTGTTGTGTTTCCTGACCCTCTTGTGTTGTGTATTTCATGTTTCTGCTCCTCCGCAGGTTGAGGAAGGTGTGGCAGAAGAGGAAATGTGCCGTCCAGAACTGCTACCTGACCATTGCTCATGGAACGGTGAGTGTCGTCCAGAGCCGTCTCCACTGTCCCGGAGCCAGAGCCAGTGCACACGCATGCTTACACACACGAGCACACAAGCACTCGCACACACATGTGAGCTTAAGCGTGCATGCACACGAACACTACCGCTTTCCGTCAGGGGAGTAGAGAATACGGTGGTTCAGATTGAACATTCGCAGTCTCTGGACAGCAGCACGGGGCGGGGCTCCGAGAATGTGTGAGTCTGCATGTGGGCCAGTGTCCGACACCTGACCCATTCACTCCGCTTTCTGGCCACTGTAAGTAAGGTGAGTGAGCTCCAGATCATTTAAGGGTATCAGCCCACTGTGTAAAAATGTAATTCACTGTCTTCAGGCATGATTGGCAGTGCGAACTGTCTGCACACTGACTGCATGTGAGCAGGACTGAACCCTGGGTTCTGTATCATTGACTCCACTCACTTGTACACCCTCTGTCACCCATCAGTTTTGAGGTGATGATCGATTGCAATTTTTAATGTGCCCCAAAGATAGATTATTATTCGTTTTAGAGGAATATGAGAGAGGCAATGGTAAGTCATTAACTGAGGATTTCCTGTAGTTAGCTTTAATAGGTTATGAGGGTGTGTAACACTTGTTTTTTGCCATGTTGACTTTAGGTGGATTTGTCACAGCATTATGAATGTAGCCTGTTGCTGCAGGCTGCAAGCTGGGCTGAAACAGCACCTCTGAAATGCTTGTTTATTGAGCCCAGAGGCTGCCCTGTGGTAACAATTAGGAGCCATGCATTTCTTCAACAGCGTTCATTCAATACCTCTCCGTTTTTCTTTTTTCTTTTGAGCTCAACTTGGGTAATTGTGTCCGTTTTCAGCCCAACAGACCTCCAGCAAAACTCAACCTGCTCACCTGCCAGGTGAAGCCCAGCCAGGAGGATAAGAAATGCTTTGACCTCATCTCCCGTAAGTTCTCACCACCGCAGGCTCTGCCTAGCTCACGCAGATTTTAGAGTAGCGCCAAACAGTCAGTGAACCGACGCGTGTTCATGTCTGAGATTAAAGCAGACGATACCCTAGATCCAGCCAAGGCTTAGATTCTTCCAGTACAAGTCTTTGCTCCAGCTAACCCTGAGTGTTAAAGTGATATTCAGCTGCTGAACCAATTAAGTAATTAAAAGATCAATTAGGCAATTAAGAACATTTTATACTAGGACCCAACAGCTGAATCAAAGTCATTCAGCGGAAGAGCCCAGCCTGTCATAAGTGCAGACGCAATTCCATTGTGTAGTCATTGCCTGTTTTGGGCTGTAAGAGCTGTGTAGTGTAAAAACTCTAGGTGCCTGTGGCAAAACAATCGTTTTTTTTCCCTCACTCATCACTCTGTCCTGTAGTTCCTAACCCTGAGTAAAAGTCTTTGTCTTATTGTGCATCAGGATATTAGAATTAAGGACACAGGTATGAAAGCCTCATGCTCAGACTGACTTTACGCCAGCAGTGGCCTGCCCCTGCACGGAACGTTACTTTCACAGGGACTTGTTTCAAAGTGCCTTAGATAGTCCAGGGGTTAAACTGGACACCATCATCATCTTCATCCTTGCCCTGTCCAGAGCTGCTATCGTCATGACCTCAGTTTTGCGTCTTGTCCGGTAGCTGAGGTGTCGGCAAGCGTTTCCGGCAGGTAATTAACTCGCAGCGACCCGCTTCGAGTCGGACCCGGAGCTTGGAGCCGGATCCTCCGGATCGCGAGCACGCTGCTTCAGAAACTGGACAGCTAGTCTCCCCGTCACTGCGGCAGGCCCCCTCTGTCCGTCCCCTGATCAACCCTCCCTTCTTCTCTTGCCATGTTTCATCTAGATAACCGCACGTACCACTTCCTGGCCGACGACGAGGCAGAGTGTGTTGCGTAAGTAAAGACATTTTTCACATTATAGGGGGCAAAGGGATTCAGTTCACTGTGCAAGCTGTTTTTGTGACTGGTGAACACCTTATTTCTTAGGGTGCACAAGGCGTGATTTCCCTGGCTGTGGTTTCTCATGCATGTATGACAAACTAGATGACCTCCTCTCGGTTGTTAGCAAGTTGCTTATTCTGCTGCCTCCAGAAGCGGAGTGTGGGATTCACCCAGAGAGGGCTGATGCCTCCGCAGGCTGCGTTCATGTGACAGTCAGCAGGAAGCAGCCCTGTTCTCGACAGCGCTGGGCCCAGCCAGCCCCAGGGACACCCAGCTGCATTCCATCATTCTGGCTGATGTTTCCCCGGCTGTAGAGGATTCTGGGAAACAACAGCGAAAAGAAAGCCTTGAAATATCTTCCCCCCCCTAGCATCCTCTGTAGCTCAGAGCAGATTTCCCAGTCTTTTACACAGGGCGTGGGGTGGGGTGGGGCGTGGGTCAGGGTTGTGACTCTTGGGGCGTTGTCTCTTTGCAGGTGGATCTCCGTCCTGACCAACAGCAAGCAGGAGGCCCTGAACGTGGCCCTGGACGAGAGGCGTCCGAGCGGAGAGAACAGCATCGAGGACCTGACCAAAAGCATCATCGAAGACGTCCGCCGCATGCCAGGGAACAACGTGTGCTGCGACTGCAGGGCGCCAGGTGAGCCTGGGGCCACGCCACGCTCGGCCAGGTCAGACTGCCCACTGAACCCCGAGGCACAGGAGCTGGGGCCACACAGGGTGCACCCCCGCCCCTGCAGGGGGAGATGTCAGGGTCAGGTCGCAGCATGACCAAACGAAGACAAGATTAATTAACGCTAGTAACCTCCCGTTAGACTTCCTGTGTACAAGTCTCTTCACCTGCGGTCATCACAGGAAACACATGGGTATCTACGTGCCCCTGTCCGGTTTTTCTGTGGAATGGTCTGATATGAATGACAGCCTGTCAGTACAAAGGGCAGTAGAGCAGTACAGCACAATAAAATCACACTTCATTGTTTTTTTACGAATTGCAAAAACTGCCCTTAGGTGGAAATATATTGCACAAGTTAAGCATTACGCCTTTGCTGAGATGAATATTCATGTATAATTACAGGACGGTGTGCAGTAAATTTGGAACAGTGCGTTACAGAACAAGCAGAGGGGAGGAACAGGCCTACTGGGTAGCACGCCTGCAGCCTCGGGGAGCCTGTGTCTCTCGAATTAGGTTGACAGCCTGTGTGTAACCAGCCTGAAATCCTATTTGAGACTGAGCCCAAGTGAGGAGACCAGATCTGGGTCTGGAGCAATGTGGTTAATGGGCCACATCTTCAGTCACACTGGATACAGAAGCAGCAGTTAATTAATTCTAAATATAGTTTTTTCTGTGCAATATATCTTTTTTTTTTTAATCACGAGTCTCTCCTGTCAGGAAGCAGGCTTAATGTCCCCCATCTGTTTTTTTCCAGAGCTGGATGGCGAAGGTGAAATCACCTGTAATACATCTCTTTCAGCACTCAAACTGACCTGGTCTTTTTTGGCTGCATGTTCTGTGTGCGCCTGGAGTGAGGAACTGTATTTGTGTGTGAGGGTCTAGAATGAGACCCCAGGGCTTTTACAAGATGTGAGGAGCTGTCTGTCTGCCGAGTTGGGCGCTTCTTACAGAATGGAAGTGTCTTGCTATAGTATTGGTCCCCACTGTGCGCTCATTGGTGCCCATCTTCTTCAGACCCCACCTGGCTCTCCACTAATCTGGGAATCCTGGCATGCATCGAGTGCTCCGGGATCCACCGGGAGATGGGCGTGCACTACTCCCGGATCCAGTCCCTGTCCCTGGACAAGCTGGGCACCTCCGAGCTGCTGGTGAGTCCTCGCCTCTGCCCTGCCCCTTGGCTGGCCCTGTGTGCTGAACGTTTCAGCCCAAAGCTTCAGCTCAGCTGGGACGGGAGCTGAAAATCCGTCGCGTCACTTTGATGGGTAATGCAGGCGTGAAGTTTCATTGTGTTTCTCAGACACGCTCCAGAGGTAAAAACCAGCAGTTTGCTCAACCCTTGGCAATCGCTGCTGCACCTGTCACTCTGTCTGAGTTATAAACGGGACGCTGCCTGTTGGCTGTATGTCTGATCCGGAGTACACAGCGCCCTGCCCAGTGCACTGTGGGTAGGTTGACTGGATTCCTGAACTTGGCTGTGATCTCCTTGGAGTCAGTCAGACCGCAGCACACACAGGCAAACAAACACCTGCCGGCTTCAATTGCACGCCCCACGTTCCTTCAAATTAATCAAAAGCTGATTTAAATGCTTAGCGTGACTTCACATGTGTTTTAAAACTCTACCTGTCACTTAAACTTAGCTTTTGCTGGCTTGTCTGCCTTCCGAACCTCTTTATTAAAAATCTGGAGAACAGTGCTGCTAAAAAAAGTTTGTTCGCCCCGTCTTCTTTAAAAGTTCTTGTGTCTTTGGAAGATTTATTGATGGATCAGGCGCAGAATTGAGCCAGACAGCTGCGTGATGAATCTGAAAACACTGTAGGAGAAGGCAGCTGCAATCTTCCTCAGCCAGGATGTATTGATCTCTTTTTCTTTCCAGCTGGCCAAGAATGTGGGGAATGCAGGCTTTAATGAAATTGTGGAGGCCAACCTCCCCAGTTCCTCTCTGAAACCATCCGCTGACAGTGACATGTGAGTTATGAAGTGTTCTGTAACTACTCCATTTCTCACACACAGAGGTGACTGCAGAGGGTTATTGTTCTGTGCCATCGAGACCAAATTCTCTGATCTATCGAATTCCGTATTCCAATCTAATGAGTCGAGATACTCTTCTCCCACAGGGACCCTGGTGTTTCAGCTCGCTGAGGGCAGAATTCTTACTTATTCTCCCTGATTGAGCTGCCAACCTTGTGGCTTTGTGACCTTTTGCGCTGTCACTTTACCCCCAGAAAGTTTGTAAGGAACAAAGTTTGAACCGTTTCTTTCTCTTGTCTTGCCCGCAGTAAGCATGGGTATTGGCAGTTCAGTTCCAAAACCGATCACGTGAAAAATGAATGAATACCTCAGGTCTGGTAACCAAAGACAGTGTAGTGAACAGTGAGCTGGTGAGGCAGGATAAAAATGCTGAAAATAGTCTGTAAGAAATGACCCCTGAGAAGAAGTGCACCAGTGGCACCCCGCCGTGAAGCAGTTTATATTCACTCTGTGGTGTTGAACCGCTGCTCCGTTCAGCGATATCGTCACACCAGACGCACCTCGCAAATCTCCACTGCTGCGGGCATCGGCGTCGCTTTAAAAAGAGTCTGCTCCATTTTTTTCCACTGAAGGGAATTGCACGAGCTTCGCATCTTCGTCGGCACCAGAAATAAATGGGGTCATTAAGGCTTCTTAAAATATGAATCTCATGGTCTAACGCTCGGCTTTGCTATATTAGGCCGCTAGAATTCTCCCCAGAGACTGAGACCGATGTGAGTGTTCTCAGCTCGTGCACGAGCAGCTGCAGTCTGCAGCAGCTCTCCTCACTCCCAGGAGCCCGACGCCGTGGAGATGCTGAGTGCTGGGTGACCTGGCTCTGGCCTCCAGCGCCAGCTGATGGCTTATCTGATTCTTCTCCCCCCCCCCTGCCAAAGGCATTGGGCTTTCTGTGGCAAGATTGAGGTCTCCAGCGGCCACAGTCCCCGCAGAGCGAGGCAGGCTGGGAGAGCTTCTCCTGGTCGTGCAGATCAAGGGCCATCGCTCTGTCCCACCTCGCCGACAAGGACGGAGTACATCCGCTTTGTACCTTTGAGGTCCGGGACGATAGACGTAGTGTAGCAACGTCATCAGCTGCACTCCCTGCGCAGAGGTCTCTTCGACAGGGCAAGTCCGCGTTGAAGTCACTGGCGTGATCTTGTCACTGTTCTCGTCGGGCTGATTGTCTGCTCGTGATCTGACAGTCCTTGCTCCCATCCTCTCCTGCTGCACAGCTTTGACCTTTTTGTGCTGTGAAAGCAAGGGGACGTCTCTTTGCTTGTCTGCTGAACCTGTGAACCATTTCAGTTGAAAGTGGAGGCAAAACCCTTTCCTTCAGTCCTCTGTCTAACATGGTTAAGGTCAGCACTGTTTGAATTGTGCTCTCCCAGGTCACTTGACCAATGAAAGGCTCTCACTCCTTGCTGCTGTGGGCACCGTCGGGGTGAAGCTGGGTGACCCCACGGCTAGTCCTCCAGGTCGTCTCGGATCCCAGTGAAACTGAGACCCCTGTGACTTTCCCAGTGCCTGATGGCTTGCGGTGATGTCACTGAGGGATTCATATCTCCTCCAATGATCTTTTATGTCTGTGCAGAGCCAGGTGGTGATTGGCTTGATGGATGGGTGGGTGGGTCAGAGGAGCCTGTCGGCACATCCTCGTTCTCTCCATGTGGGTACAGGGGTCATCACTGCAGGCTACTGTTAAACTCACTCTCTCTTATTATGGCATTATTCAGAAACGTATCTGTATTTTCTGTAATGGAGTGTATATATGTATTTTTTTAATCCGATTTTATTTTTAAAAACTGCCAGCTTAGTCCAGTGGCATCCGACACTGGCCCTGGATATGCCCCCATCCCGTTAGGTTTATAGCTCACCTGCTTGTAAAGTTTGGGATCACCTGCCAATTACTGATCATGCGTACAAATCATCTGATTCTGTTTAAAAGAACTCTGGAAAGGGCAGAGGGGTGCTCAGATTTCGGTCCTGCATGATCTATGTGAGGCAGTGGCCAATAAGAATGTATTGTGAGTATTTTCTGTTTTGCAAGTGCCTTTAAATTATATGTTGCAGGAGAACAGAGAATTAAAATTCACGTGGGGGCCTCGGTTCATTCTTGCCCGTTTTTATCTTACAAAGCAATGTGGCGGCTGTTCTTATTGTTAATGCACGAAGGGAGCATTGCTAAGATGCAGCAGCAGCTTCGTGCTCAGCGCAGCATGACAGCCAGGGAAAGCCTGAATGAAAGGGACTCATGCCGACCCTGTGAAGACTGGGGGAGAAGAGCCCTGGAGTCAGGCTGCTTCATCCTCCCCTGCTGAGCTGGGTGTGTGTCAGAGCACTGCAGAGCTGGCACAGAGGGCTCATCCATCTCCTATGCAGCAGCAGGGCACAACGCTAAATGGCTCTTCACACCAGAGTTAATGCAATACATAAATCTGCACAGCAAGAAGTGGCAGAAAATGTGAAGTCATTTCTCTCGAGAGGAGAATTATGCAGTATCTCTACTCTGGTTAACTTTTTGCATTACAAAATACTGTTTTAAAAGTAGCCCCATTCATGACATCACCATAATAGATACTAACATTATTGATATGACGATACTATATTTATTCTAATTAGAGATGGCTGTATACCCCCCAGCTCAGTTTTCCTGTTCTCTGTCTCCCTCCCGCTCCCTCGTTCCCGGTTCGCGGGCAGGGCCGTGCGGAAGGACTTCATCCTGTCCAAGTACATGGAGCGGCAGTTCGCGCAGCACAGCGGGGGCTCTCCCGGGACGCTCCGGAGGAGCCTGCAGGAGGCGGTGAGGAGCCGGGACATCTTCGCCCTGCTCCGGCTGTACGGCGAGAGGCTGGATCTCAGCCAGCCGCTGCACAGCCCCGTACAGGTACTGTACCGGCAGCGCTCGCCAGGGGGCAGCAGCAGCACGGCCGCGCTGTCAGTGCATGCTCTGTATGCAGGCCCCGCCCCTGCCCCGCCCCTGCCCCGCCCTGCCCTGCCCCTGCCCCGCCTGGCTCCGCCCTGCCCTGCCTCGCCTTGCCTCGCCCTGCCCTGCCCCTATCCTGCCCTGCCTGGCTCCGCCCTGCCCTGCCTCGCCTTGCCTCGCCCTGCCCTGCCCCTATCCTGCCCTGCCTCGCCCTGCCCTGCCCCGTCTGGCTCCGCCCTACCCTGCCTCACCCTGCCCCGTCATTGAAACTCTTGGTGCTGATTGGTCCTTCCCTCTTCAGGAGCCTGGGGAGGCCGCCCTGCACCTGGCTGTGCTCTTGGCTGATCGGACCTCATTGCACATGGTGGACTTCCTCGTTCACAACTGGTGAGAGCCTGGAGATGTCCCTGCCCTCTCGAGATCAGATGTGCGGCTGCTCAGAATACTTGTGTTGAGTGGTCCACAGTATCCAGAATTCTGTTGCTTTGAGAAGTCAAGCTGGTGCTCGCTTCCTTGACTTCCAAAGACAGTGGCAGAGACGGGCTATTATTGTTTTTCCTTAATAAATCAACAGATGCTAGAGATGATCGAACTCGGGAATGCGTGAGAGAAAAAGACAGGAACGTGAAAGTCGAGCTTCTAAAGAGAAAAGGCGTATCAGTGCTTGCAGTCCGGCCAGCCTGGTGTGTTCAAGGGAGACAGCCCTGCATGATTCAAATGTTGTAGTGAGCCCTTAATGTAAAAAACTGCATTTTCATCTGCAAATATATTTATAGCCCTGCACCCTGCTGAGGGAAGAGAGATTCTGTCACGTGAGGATAATGAAGAAGCAACAGCTGGGCTTAAAACCAGCGCAGTTTTCTTCTTTAATTTATTTGATAAAGGCAGATTAGATGGAAGCAGCTGGGTTTTGTTGGCTGGTTACCTGCTGGGACATTATGTCATAGAAACAGGCTGGGGTGCAGTTTCAGTGTTCAGGGGGCTTATAGCGCCTGTGCCATCCTAGAGCGAAATCGAGGTCAGAGGGGACTGGAATGGCACAGCTTTGTTTCTGCTTACTGGCCGTTCTTCTCCCCGCAGTAACAATCTCGACAAACAGACTGTCCGTGGAAACACGGCTCTGCACTACTGCTGTCTGCACAACAAAACCGAGTGCCTTAAACTGCTGCTCAGAGCGAAGGCCAACACGCACATCAGTAAGTGACCGTCCGCAACGGGGTCCCTCTCCGGGATTGTCAGGGAACCTTGATCGCCTCCGCCAACAGCCCAGCCTCCTCGAGGAGTGAAAGTTTTGCATTTATTGAAGCATCATAATGCTCTGGGGCAGCACAGTGGCCCAGTGGTTAGCCTCGCAGTGCCGGGGCCCTGGGTTCAACTCCGCACCTGGGGTGCACGTGTGGAGTTTGCATGTTCTTCCCGTGTTTACGTGGGTTTCCTTCGGGGTGCTCCGCTTTCCTCCTACAGTCCAAAAACATACTGGTGGGTTAATTGGCTTCTGGGAAAATTGGTCCTGGTGTGAGTGTGTGTGTCTGTGTGCCCTGCGATGGACTGGCGTCCTGTCCAAGGTGTACCCTGCCTTGTGCCTCTTGCTCGCCAGGGTAGGCTCCTGCTCCCCCGCGACCCTGAATTAGATCAAGTGTTTGCAAGGTGGGCGGTCTACTCCAGAGCCCCGGTTGGATTGTGACACTCTTTGTGGTTTCAAGCCTCCTGGCTCGTGAAAGAGGTGGAGCTGGAAGCAACTGACCCACTGCAAGCGCCCCAGAGGTCTTGGGACCAGAGGCAGTGGTGCAGTCTGGCTCATGTCGCAAGCCCTGGTGTGGCGGCACGTTGAAATCGCTGTACAGAAAAGGCAACTCGTGACAAAAGTAACGACGTTTAGAGTTTCTGGAAAGCCTGTAACACTGTTAACTAAACATGAATTCTTTCAGCGCTTGAATGAATGAATGAATCTCGGGCGTAGGCGTTGGGGTGATGAGCCGGACACGCAGGACGCTGATCTCACTGACCGCTGTCTGCCCTGGCCAACCCAGGCTCTGAACTGCCTGTCGACTCCCCACGAAACATCAGCAATGCAAGGAGCCAAGATTTAATTAGAGGTGCCGTTCACACACCTGAACACCAAAAAGAATAAACAGTGAGCAAAGCTGATTGCATAACGTCCAGGTATAACTGAATGTGACCGATGATGCACTTTAAAACGGATAGTTCCTGTAAATTGCTGTTGGGAAGGAACGTTTGTTAAACTAGATGGATTACTTGTGTTTCCACATGCTTATCAGCCTGAGGCTATTGGATAATTAAATGCTAATTGGCACATACTGCATTGCAGTCGAAGCACTTGTTATCTTTATAATGGGCTTTGCGCTGTTTTCACATAAGTAGCAGATAATCCTGTAACAGCAGATTAATTCCTCTTTGCAGAGCCACAGCAGAGTCTATTAAGTCTTTCACACCCTGTGAATGATAAACTGGGTGGGATCTCGGCGCATGTAGCTTGCAACAGAATGCTCTTAAGTAATAGTCTACCACAGTATATTTGCCAGGCAAGTTGCAGTTCTCCCTGGTTTCAGCAGACACTTATTTTGCTGCAGTTTTAAAAACAAGGATGGTAGTTTGGAGGTTTCATAATAGCTTAACTGTATAAGTGCTCATTCAGAGCATCAGTTTACCCCCGCGGTTTAGACATCACCACTTCGGGCCTGGTCATGAGATAGCCAGAGAGATAGGAGGTGAGAGTGGGCAGTAGTCAGCCAGGTTCATCCCAGCCTGTTGCAAACCTGAGGCTCTGGTGGCCTTTGGGTGCCTGCGGGCTTGTACCATCTTCAGCTAGAGACGCTGCACCTCCGGGTGGGTGTGTCAGGGTGTGTCGTTTGGGTGTGTCCAGTGGGCGTGTACTTCTGAGCAGAACAGTTGTCGCAACCAGTTGCCGCGTCTTAAATAATGGGCAGTTAATAATTGCGTGGGCCTGTAGTAAATAGCATGGCAACTGCTCATTTCAGTTTTAAAAGAGCGGATTTTTATGGCAGATTGATTGGGTGCATTCAAGGCTTTCTTCTTTTAAATCTGGCCTTGGTTTGTTTGGGCTGCTGGGGTCTGTTGAAATGCGAGGAACACAAAATCACGGCGCAGTCCTCCTTGGACGCGATAACCCCGTACAGTAGGTAGAAAAACTCCAGTGCCTGTCCTGTGCCGTTGAGCCCCCTGATCCGTGGGAACACAGCGGTTGAGCCGCAACAAAGCAGCATAGCAGAGTTTTAACACAATTTGATTTCAGCGCTGGGCTCTCAGGTTCTGCTGGCTGTCCTTACAGGCTGTTCCAGCGGAACGTGAGAGAGAGCCTGGAAGAGAAACACCTGCGGAGGAGCTGTACTGTTATAACACATTAAATCATCAAAGTATTTTTCCCCTTAAAACCCTGAAAGATGTGCCAAATGCGTTTATGTGTGTGTTGTAAAGTAGTCATAACAATATGGGAAAGTGCAGTTTCTATCAAACAGTGTTATTTTTTGCTGTTCTGTTTTTGTTTCCTTTAACGTGCTCTCTGATTCTTTTACGGGTTAACCAAAGTGAACAAGAACCATCATCTTGCCGCTGTGCACAGTCAGTCTGGGCTGTGCTGGGGGATTCGGCTTGATGTCCGTCATGATGATCACACGCTCTCCCTGTCCTCTTGCAGAGAACGAAGCGGGCGAGACCGGATTAGATATTGCTCGGAGACTAAAGCACAGTCACTGTGAAGAGCTGGTAAGGCAGACTTCCTGTCACTGAGTCGCGTGGTGTTGTT